TTAATAATCCCTAAGGAAATTAGGATTATGGTTGCTCCAAGACGGTAACATACTGAACTAATTAAATAATATGATACATTACATAGTTTACACACAGTTGTAGAGGGAGATGGGCACAATCCTGAGCATTGTCGAAAAGATATTAAAAGACCTCTGCTGCCACCTCAGAAAATGGAGACGACTTTGGAGTCCAGCAAGTAATGGAGATTATTGGGACTGCTGAGAGACATTGACACCAAAGTCTAATTGCTGGACAAACTAAAAATTAAAACAAACTCTAATCTTTTTATCCTAAAGTCTTCACATCTAGGAATATTCGATAACTTGTACAATAGTCTGTCTGTAGTATACTTGTGTCGACCAACCAGATAAATGTAACGGCAAAGTATTATTGTATAAGGGGCTCATCTGACCTGAAATCAGATCAATTGTACAGGGAAACTTGACACGGGCCATTTTAAAATGGATGCTTTAAACTTCAGTGTGAAATGACTTGTCCTCCTTTGTGTATATAAAAAAATGCTATATTGTGCAAACATTTTTAATGTCACATAGGTGTATGTGTCTTTATATTCCAGTGTCATATCTGAGACTAGTGTCTGCTAGCAAAGTTGTAGTAAAGTGAAAATGAGTGAATATAATGGCCTAGAATTTCTAGAATGTTGCATAATGGAATTGGTTTTTAAGGCCACTTGGGGGCGCCACATACTGCCAAATTTTCTTTAGGTGTAGTAGGTGGGCTCACTTATATACAAAACACTATAAAAACCTTTCAAACTTGTTTGACTGCCCTGCTATTTTTTTATATATTTTTTTTTTAAATAAAAATGGAAGTATTATGTTTCATTAGTTACATCTTGCACGTTCTTCCCCCTTTTAGGCTATCTTTGATGCTCACAATGAGATTGCTGCACAGGGCCAGTGTCGGGTAAGGCATTTTACCACAACATCAACACACTGTACCTCATTCAGACCAAACGCATGTAATGCAGGTCAATGTTAGACCTGTGTAGGACAACTTCATATGAGATTGCTGTTATGAGCAGAGTTTTATTTCATTAGCTTCCAGGCAGTTACATTGTTATGGACCACATGTGAGATGGGGTGCGGGTTATTAAAGAGATCAGACTATATATTTAAACAGAAGTAGTTGTTATGGTATCTTTGCTTTTTTCAAAGTTATTCATTTTGTCTCAACTTTCACAGCCAGAAGCAGATAAAGTCAACTTTCACTTTATTGCCTTCGTCAATGTAAATGGACAGCTGTATGAATTTGGTAAGAATTTGGCCCCATGCACAATCCTGTAGTTACTGTCCCTGTATTTGTTTTACATTGTGGATTCTAATATCTTATATCTTAAGATGGGAAAATAAATGGACCAGTGAACCACGGTCCTACCAAAGAGGAGTCCTTTGTAATGGTATGTATATCCAGTTATTGAACTTTTCAGTTTTTGAACATTTACAAACTGAAAATAACAGTCATTGTTCTTTGCATATCAACTAGTCGTGTATTAAACTGGAGAGGGAGTGTGAATGAGAGTCTGCCAAACTGGGCTTAGTCAATTTGTATATCTGATATACAAATTGCAGTCATTTAAAATGAGGTTAAATTATTACATAACCTGGCAATGAAATGCAAAAATGTGTGAGAGTTTTGCAATTATTAATTTGCTTCGTAAATTTTAATTGGATTATTTATGATTGCAGCAAATGATCACAAGGCAAACCCACGTTTATGTGAGATAAAACCGCATCATTAAATGTGGTAATTTATTGAGAACTAGTTATGGTAAAAGACTTGCCTCTAAAGTAAGAATTAGTATTTAATTTAATTGAAGTTCAACAAGCTGGTTTGTTTTATGAACATCTGCTTGTAATGCATTACTACTACCAGAGGATGGCAGTATTGCACCTGGCAATGGTGTCGAATGCTCAACAAGTTCCCAGTTAATACCACAGTATTGTTTTAAAATCACCCAGCTACTAGGAAGTTGAATACCTTCATTCCACTATGATAGACTTGCACTGAAGTGGAACTTGCTAGACTGCTGCTTTCAGAGCTACCTATGTGCACAGCATGTAATGCTGTTGAAACATTTAGAGCAGAGGTCCTCAACCTTTTTTGCGCCACGTTTATGCCCGACAATATTTTCATGGACCGGCCTTTAAGGTGTTGCGGATAAATACAACAAAATAAAACTAGTACCGGTACCGAAAAAAAGAGAATTTATTCATAACACACGTGAAAAGACCCAGGAAAACAGAGTAAATGATAAAAACGATAACGAAAACAGATTTAAAAACCATACATTTCACACCTGAACCTCAACTCTCGCGGCCCGGTACCAAACAACGCATGTACCGGTCCAAGGCCCGGGGGTTGGGGACCGCTGATTTACAGGATGAATTTCCCTAAAGTGTTTCAATTTAACTTAACATGGATCTGTGTTAACTGGCAGCACTAGACCTCATTATCAGGGCATTTACATCAGTGATATTGCCCAGACCTACTAAAATATGAAAATATCATCAGTAAAATAAACGTTAATACAAATGCACTTTAGGACAGTCTCTCCTCATATTCTGAGTAGTGCACTCCCATTTTAAAATTAGTTGATGTATTGTTTAAATATAGTGGATAGAGTTTTGAATAATTAGTTGACATGTCATCTTTTGATCATATCTAGGATGCAGCCAAAGTGTGCCGTGGATTTATGGAGAGGGAGAAAGGTGAAGTGCGCTTCTCTGCAGTGGCTCTCTGTCAGAATTAAGATGTTCAGTAGGACACAAAATTGAGCAAATTGTAAACCAAAATGTCCTGGAGCATTCACATGACAAACAATCAACAGGCAACCTGTGTGCGCATACATCTGCAGACACTATGCACTAAAGCACATTGTTTCCACATTTCTCTTATTTCATGAACAAAGTCTTGTTTAGCATTACCACATGTACACAAACACAATTGGAGCCCTTTGTTCTGCAGACACTAACAGTACAAGCCTGTCCATACAGTTTAATGTGGTTTAGCTGTGAATCTGTACAGCATGTGGTCATTACCACTGCTTGTGTGCACATGTCTGAAAGTTTTTTCCACTGCATCTGTGTCAAACTCAGAAGACTGATGTTAAAATACCTTTTGTGCCAACAAGTGTGACAGATGAGACAAAAGATGTTGAGGGAAGTTTTGTTTCTGAAGCCCTTTAGTTTCTGTGTGGTTGAGTTCTTAATCTGATGTTCTGCTGAATAGCCCAAATGTATCTGTAGGAATAATCAACCATTGTTTAGAGCAAGGAAGAAACCTACTCACTGTTTTGAAAAGTCTCTGGAAAACTGAGGTTCTTTCTGATAAGCTTGTTTAGTGTGATCGCAAATCAGTTCAGTTCATTGCAGTGTTCAAAAAATGAACAGGCACCTTATTTAAAAACCCAAGGATCCACAAATGATCAAACGCATATACCCTTACTGTGCCAGTTTAACAGATAATACAACTTCCAAAGTGAAGTAGGGAACATCTGAAGTGCTACTGTATGTTGGTTGTTGTGCAGTGCTGGGTGTCTGGCTGTGTTTGAATTGTTTACCTTTCTGCACTTTCAAATCCTATGTCGCTGTCGTTATACTGTTAATACAGCTGTGGGAATATAATAAAGCAACTGTTGTCTCCTTGTCCTGTTGTCCTGTCTCCTAATGTCCATTGGGTATATTTAAGTAAACAGTACAGGGAAATGAACTACTGGGCGATTGTGGCTCAAGAGTTGGGAGTTCGCCTTGTAATCAGAAGGTTGCCGGTTCGAGCCCCGGCTTGGACAGTCTCGGTCGTTGTGTCCTTGGGCAAGACACTTCACCCGTTGCCTACTGGTGGTGGTCAGTGGCGCCAGTGTCCGGCAGCCTCGCCTTTGTCAGTGCGCCCCAGGGTGGCTGTGGCTGTGAATGGGTGGATGACTGGTTGTGTAAAGCGCTTTGGGGTCCTTAGGGACTAGAAAAGCGCTATACAAATACAGGCCATTTACCATTTCACTGTTGAGAACTTTTCTACCCCTGCCATTACTCTAACATTACAGGCTTTTAGCTGACACACAAAGTGAAACCTTTGTCTTGTGATGTGGTTAAACGACCTCAGGCTCATCCTGGACTGCACTTGGCTGCTGTCCAACTTCAAAAGAGTGAAACTAGAGGAAAGAGCTGTCTATAGCACCTCATCATTGTGCTTACATAAGACAGTCTGTCCTTCAGGTGAGCAGGCAGCATACTGGCATGAGCAACACTTCATGTTTTGATAAGAGACAAAGGAACATGACAGTACACTCAGGCAGTTAGAGCGGAAATATTGCATTTATTTCTTACTCCGAGAATGTCTTTCTGAACAGGTCACTGGATCCAACATAACTGGTTTGACCTGCCAGCTGAAAAAGCCACATTTAAGCTCAGTGATCTGAAACAGCTGTTATCACCAGTGCTGATAGTTACACATGACCAATCCATTCTTTTTAGTCTGTGTGTGTTAAACTCCAACACATGCCACTTAAATTGAGCTACAACTTAAATTGACTAACCTGGTGGTGCTGGGACTGGAGCTCACAGGTTCTTGACTTTTTGAGTCTGAAGCAGGACCTGATCAACCTGATATGGGGGGTAGGAGCCTGTTACCCTACACCCCCCCACCCAATCGTTTTAGTGCTTTTTTTTTTAACGTATACATGATGTCATGTCATTTATTATGGGAGAGACTTCAGTATTGTCACATTATTAAACTAAAGACTTATCAGCTGTGATATAGGTATTGAATCTTGATTATATCATGCTTTGGAGATTCATACCAAACAAATCTGATTTTGTGAATAAAAAACACGCTGACTTTAGCTGCCTGTGATTTAAATACTGCAGTTTTACATTTCTATGGTGCTCTTTGCTTCACATTTTAAAGCCTACAGTCTACCTGTGCTCAGGTATGATCAGTCCCCTTCAAACACATTATGGGTCACCTTCGAACAGCCCCCACCTCCCTCATCACTCTCTCTCTCTGCATCTCTCCTATCTATCTCGACCTCCCCCGCAGAGATTCCTGCCTGCGCGTTCACGTTTCTCGAAACGCGCGGCGGGGGCCGAGGACAGAAGCCTCGCGCAGTTCGGCGGAAAAGAGTCATTATTTTTAGCGCCTGGTTCGCGTTTCGCGAGGAGCCGCTTGTCTGTCTCTGCGCCACAGTCTGCGCAGAGCTCGCGCGGAGCACGAGAGGACCCGCCGTGACAGAGCGCGGAGTTGCGGGGGAAGCGCGCGAGGACGAACATAACGGGCTCCGGACACAGACCATCTGAAGGGAGGCTTATCACGTATCACCGTATCGTCCGGCTTTGGTCTCGGCCTGTCCGGAGATGGCTAGCCCCGGTGCCTCTGGAGATTCACCGAATGCCCCGCGGGAGCAGGAGCCGCTGGAGCAGCACCATCCCGAACCAGCCTGTCGGGAGGCTCAGAAATGGATAGAGGTAAGTGAGGAGAGGGGGGCTCAGAGGCCTGCTGCTATTGCACACCAGGGACATAAACGGGTCATATAGCCACACGCTGTGAGCGGGGGTATAAATAATCACCCCAGGCGCATCGTCACCTGTTTGGGAGGAGGGGGACGATGCGGTGTCCGTGTGGGACAACAGCCACTGTGCGTGTGAAAAGTTTTCACCTGTGTCGTCGTCCTAATGACACTGAACGCCAACACCTGCTCTGTAGGGACTTTAAACGCCGCTCGGGCTCGAAAATAAACCGTCATCATGAAGTAAAAGCTCGCAGAGTGTCTGTTTGTGTAGGGACGATGGAGAGCCTGTTTTCTACTTGCTAGGAGGAGAAACGCCCCCCTTTTTGAGGCGCGAGGGGATTCCGGTTGCCATGGTTATGAAACCGGGCCAGTGTTCACGCACGAGATGCTTCACTGTACCCACGGTTGATCGCATCGGATGAGATTATCATTTGCTGCATCGCTTCCACCATCATCTGCTCGGATACAGTGCCTCCTTCCATCAGCCTGAGCGGTGAATCACGGTTTGCCCGCGGAGCTGCTGCCTTATGACCTATTTTATACCTCCAGAGCGGCTCAGCTACCTGCCAGCCAGCATTTCAGATAGAGGAGATAAAGGACTGGAGCTGCTTCAAAATGACTATTTTTATTTTTTTAATGTTAAGTTTTGGCTTTAGCCTCACACCATGCTGTGTTTTCACAAGACTCCCACAGACTGTGCTGGCTGTCCTGTACATTAGCCAGTTTGCCACAGGCTCTGGTAGAGAGAGAACAGGATGCTGTTATGGATAAAGCCCCTTAAAATGTTTAACTTTGTTTCCTACCTGGTCCTACTTAGAAGAGATGTAAATACAAAATGCATCTTTAAAATTATGATTTAATTTTTTAGGGGAAAAGAAAAATCTATGAGATACCTCTATATGAAATCATAACTGTCCCTCTTGTTAAATCAAGAATTAACTGTAATTAATCACATTTTTTTGAAAGCTGAGTACAATTTCACTAGTCACTGCCAGGCCTGATTACTGTCACACCTGTTGAATCACTTAGATAGAACCTGTCTAATAAAGACAGGTAGCAAACTAAAGGAACTGAAGGATCTCAACAAACTCACGATTTAAAGAAACTCAAGAACAGCTGTGAAACAAAGTCATTGACATATATAGGTCTGGAAAGAGTCCCAAAGCCATTTCTAAGGCTTTGGGACTTCGGTGAAGCACAGTGAGATCCATTATTCACAAATGGAGAAAACTTGGAACAGTGGTGAACCCCTCCCAGGAGTGACCAGCCTCACAACATTACTCCAAGAGCGTATTGATGATTCATTCAGGAGGTCACAAAGAACCCTCAACAACATCTAAAGAACTGCTGGCCTCACTTGCCTCAGTTAAGGTCAGAGTTCACGATTCAACAATAAGAAAGAGTCAGGACAAAAATGGAGAAAAAAAAGGAGAAACCCACTACTGACCATAAAGAACACAAAGGCTCCCATTTATTTAAAAAAAACAAAACAACCCAAAACAAAAAATATTCTGTAGTCTAACACAAAAGTTTTGGGAAGCTTTAAGTCCTGTTACATCTACATTAAACTGACAGTATTTCATGAAAAGAACATGATAGGTAATAACCAAATGCACCAGCAAGTCCTTCTCTGAGTGGCTTCAAAAAAATAAATAAATAAATAAAATGAAGGTTTTTGGAGGAAGCTTCATCAAAGTAGGACTTGGGTATGCTTGAAAACCATCCAGTGTAGGTGAATTAAAACAATTCTGCAAAGAACAGTGAGCCAAAATTCCTCCACGGTGGTGTGAAAGACTCGCAGCCAGTTATCACAAGTGCTTGATTGCAGTTCTTGCATCCAAGGGTGACAGAACCAGTTATTAGGCTGAGGGGGCAATTAGGATAGCTGTTTTCCCTCAATCATCATTTAAAAACTGCATTTTGTATTTACTCGAGTCACCCTTTTGCAGTTGGACAGCGGCAATTACTTTTTCACAGCACTGGAGCTCACACTTGGTTGAATTTTAATATAGAGTAAGTCTCAGTGTCCTGTCCTCAATGAGATGTGAAAAACTGCAGCAATGAAGCTCGACCAAATTTGAAGCACAGCAAGCTCTACATCTATTTTGTCCTCAGTAGTACTTGTCCTCTTTTAATGACAGTCCTGACGTCGAGGCTACAAAGGGTTACATCTATACAAGAAAGCACACCTAATACTGAATAATACTCGTGTTTTTGTCGAGGAGAAGCTGGATTCAGGAAAGCTTCATAGCCAAACAGTTAAGTGAACAGGCCTTTAATGAGTGCATACAGATAAGACTGAAATCCAATCAGAGATTAAACAACCAGCCAGTGCACTCAGTGTAACAGTGGCTCCTAATCTGGAGGTCAGGACCCCATTGGGTTGCATAATGATTAACAGGATAGAAGAGTAAAAGGACTGACGGTCCGTTAGCTGCATTAGTGATAATGGGGTACTTCTGGTTGTTGTCAACATGAGAATAATGGATTTGTTTTAAAGATAATTCATAGATGAGCTCAGATTTGTTGAGTTGCAGATTTGTTACTTGTTCATGTTTAAAAAGTTTGAAAGCTTTATCCATAACTTGAAGTATTCATCATTGTATTTCAGGCTGTGTGTGCTTTATTTATATGCACCCCATTTATTGTGACTTGTATCATCATTTAATAAGCATTAGATAAATAACTTTACATATGCATTGTTGTGTTGCCTCCAAACTTGTAAAGACAGCAGTATATTCAAAGTACTGAGATGAGAATTTAAAACACAGTACTGTGTCTTTATTGAGAAGAAAATAGGTCTTCAACTTTCAGATTTATCTAATACTCTAAATCTTGGAGATAACAGTCATTTTTAAGCCCTTCTGCAGTTGGCTGAGTCCTCTTTGTTTTTTTGGGACCATCTGTCACTTTCATAACTACATATACAGCTTCAGCACCTGATAGTTTTTGACCCTACACTGTGGACTGTGTTAGCTTTTCCCTCAGCAGCAGGCACAGTCTAGTCTAGGTTAATGCCCACCTCTTAATCTTAATCTCTCCTGCGTCTTTGCTCAGTGTTCCTCTCGCTTTGTCGTCTTCCTGCCTCCTAATACTCCAGTTATTTTCAGGCTGCTCAGGCTCAACCTATTTCTGGTGGGGTATTTTTACACTGTCACAGGTGGGGATGGGGATTCAGAGATGACCATGCCACCAAACACTCCCTGCAACTTGTTCAGTGCCTGTCTGCCATGTCTGTAAACTATGCAAAGTGTATGCACACTCACGCATGCCAATCAGCTATGCATGATACTCCTGACAGCCTTGCACACTCCTCGGACACGCCCCGGTCGGGTGACACCGGTCACTATGGGAACATAACACGGGCAGGCTCTCAGGTGTCACTCTTTCCAGTGGGGGCAGTAGGCTATATATCATCAAATGACCCGAGCAGGAAATTCAGCTGGCACCGACAGGGCCTTTCTATCTGTTTATAGACAAGACAAGGCAGGAGTGTCACAGGGCTCATACACAGTCTCAGCTGCTGAGCAGGTTAAACTCAACTTGAACCTCAGAGACAAACGTGAGCCTCTTCTTTCATCAGCATACACCACATAGCAAGAGATAGAGTCAGATGCATGGGGAATAAACTGAAGAATGTGTATGCCTGAATAAGTGTGTGTGCGCGTGTGTGTGCCAGATGTCACAGCTGTCCAAGTCAGATTAACACTGATAGTCTCAGACAGCCAGCCGGGCTTGCACGGGAGAGTGTGAGAGCATGGATTCATGGATTTTCCATGCATCAGATGGGGAATGAAAGAATTTCAAAATACTCGCACAGGCTCGTTGTTAGCAGAGGTTTCTTTGGTTTATGGAAAGTCACTCTCATGTTTTACACATTACGCACAAAAACCAAATTGTGACTGGATGTGGTAATGTGGTATTAGTCTCTTGTGCATGAAACAGTACTACAGTTTAAGGTTCAAAGCACATCGAAATCTACACACAACCATATTTTTAGTGAAATATTTAAACAAGTATTATTCTTGTTGACCATGTGATAAAATTTTAAGATGTGGGTCTATGTAGTGAACACAGCTATTGTTTATCTACATAGTGCAGTAAAATGTAAATTAAGTTATCAAAAATGTCTAAATATGTTTTTGGAAGCTTCAATACTGGATGGCACCAGCATAGTTGACAGAGATCAGCCGGCAAATAAGATGACATTTGCTAATGTCAATGGCCGATTTATCTCTTGGTTTGCATACTTTAAAAAACGGATGGATAACGTTTTTTTTTATTGTTGTTACCCTGCTGGGTGGGTGGGTAACCAGTATGGACACCTAAGTTTGTGAATATGATAACTTCAGAATGAGTTGTGTTGGAGTTTCAAATTGATAACATAGGGATATCTTCTAGAAATCTCAGATGTATTCTAATCCTGCTGACCTCAAGGTCAGAGGTCAAATTTTCTGAAAATCTTGTGAACTCATGAATGAGGTGACGTAGGATTTTGAAATTGATGCCACAGGTATATCTGCCAGGAGGCTGAGGGGCAAAGGAATCTACATAGATTTCTTTTTTTCATTGGTATAGTACTTAGTATAATTAACCAAAGAACAAAGAGGGGCAGCATGGCGGTGCTATGGTTAACACTGTTGCCTCATAGCAACAAGGTCCTGGGTTTAAATCCACCATCTGTGGAGTTTAGTAGGTTAATTGGTGATTCTAAATTGGCTGTCTCTCTGTTCCTGTGACAGACTGGGAATCTGTCCAGGGGCCCTATGGCAGCTAGGATAGACTCCAGCTCCTCTATGACCCTGATTTCTCATTACTGGCTAGACATGGTTTGGATCTTGTGGGAAAATTGAAAATTCTTTCATTATAAGTTGATATGTTCAATTTGTATTGAGTCTATTTTCACAAAGAAAAGCATCACCTCATTAAAATATGGATGGTTGGATGGATGGATGGATGTTAAACACAGAATATAACCTTGGGTGTAATATTGGTCTGACACTTCCTAATCATTTATTAAGTAATACTTGTGTAACAAGTGAGCTGGAATTACATAATGAAGTGCCTCTGAATTTGTATTTAACATAAATTGGGGGGTTCACAAGATTACAGAACATTTATATTTGGAAAGAAAATAATATGTAGATTTAACTCAGGAGGTTTCCTGACAGTTGCATCTTTAGCAAAGTGGCCCCAAATTATCATCATGTTTAGTCTTGACCTGTGAAACCCTGTCTTTTACCACCTAAATGGATTACAGCACATGATATTTTTCTCCTCCTCTGCTTCCTATGTGTCTGCTCTCTCATTCTTTCCATCTTTTCAGTTGTTAAAATAAAGGGTACTTTGGCCTACTTCTGCATCTCCCCTACCCATCTGCGCATACACACACACACACACCTCAGGGTTTAAGTGGTAGCTGCTGCTGCCATTCACGCAGGGTGAGCAGAGTGATCCACTATGAGTGAGGGTCGAATTACTGTTACTGGCGCTGAAATACCTCCGAGGCCTTTGGCTTGGGTTTTTGTAGCTAACATGAATACATACAATACATAAAGCCCCAGTTCTTCTTTTGGCATCTTCTCTTTTCTCTTCTGCTTCAATATTTTTGAGCTCTCTATCAAAAACATGCACACTTACATTAGTCACTGTGTTTAATCGCTGCATTTATTTCAGTTTCAGCTCACATAACCAATCGTTAACCACCTCCACCTCCCACCCACTGTCTGTTTGCTGTCTCCTCCACAAACACACACTCACACGCGCACATGAACTATACAAAACACAAACAGTAGTCCTGCTCTCCCCTAAATACAGTACTCTACTCTGAGAGTAAATTATACATGGCTGTGCTCTAAATGTTTTACAGTCTTTAAAACACCTAACGAATACCAGCCTGCATTTAAAACCCTGTACTGAGGAGAGACTGCTCCTCTCTTCCTGATGTATCTTCAAAGAGCTGCTTTCATGTTAACACTTTTTTCTTCAAGGGTCAGTTTAGAATTAGAGTTTAGAACTTAGCTAGGAGATGTTGTGTGTGAATGAGGGGCCTCACAAAGATAGAAATATAAGCTTTATGTATGTGTTTCTCTGTGGGTGGGTGAGTGTAAGAGAGTGACACACAGAGTGATGAAAGACAAGAAAAAGAAGTGGATGCCAGTGGGAAACATCTGTTCATCACTTATGTAACAATAAAGAAAAGTGATATTGTTTTCATAGCTACAGATGCACTGTGCTTGTGTGTGCTCTTCTTCAAGAACAATATGTGCAGTGGAACTAAAAAAGAGAAATTGAAATAAAATATGTTGTATTTTATTTCAATTTCTCTCTTTTTTTAATGTAATACATTGTAAATGGAGTTTGTATGTTCTCTCTATGTCTGCGTGGGTACTCTAGCATACTCCCACAACCCAACATACTTGTATATGTACTTTGTAGGGTTAGGTTAATTAGTGGTGCCGGCCAATAAATTCAAATTAATTCTCAGTGATCAACTTTAATCTGGTATGTATCCTGTAATTTGCCACCAGTCTTTATATGTGAAAAGCAGAATCAGAGAGTGTGGGCCTGCATTTAACGGTTTGGGTGCTAACTGTAATCTCTGCTAATCTGGATTAAATGTCTAAACAGCATTGGTCTCTTCTCTTTCATTCATCTTTGGCCTCTGGTTACACAACTGCTCCTGAAAGCATGGCGTGCGGGTGCATTGGTGTGAGGGCGGTAAATCCCCTCTGGTTTTCCTGATTCTCTCCTCTCCTACAGGATAGAGTCCAAATCAGAGCCTAGGTTAGAGGATTGAGGTTATCGCTGCGGCATATGGGAACATTTTGGATAAAATTGAAAGAGGACACTGAGCAGTGTGTCAGCGACGTGGCGTCATTCTAATTTGGTTTCAGCTGATGAAAAAATGCTGGGGGAAGGGTGAGCAGGGAAGGAGCAGGTTCTTCTGTCAGGAAAACAGAAAGGCACAAATCCAGGGCCTGTGTAAGCATGTGTCCTGTGAGTAAATGCTTCACATATGGGCTGCAAATAATGATGGAAGAACCGCCAGGTGACATCTTTCTTAGACAGAGAACTATGTTATTTATCGCCAAGGGGAAATTCATATACCTAGGAGCTCATTTTAAAGAAACAATCATCCTTCCAGTCATAACCATAAAAGGATTAGATGTGTAAAATAATTTAAGAAATTGTGGTAAAAACAGGAGGTGCAGTCCATCCAGGTTGATGCAGGAGGCAGAATGTGTACGAGTGTGAGATGATGTTTTAGGTGGCTTCACTTCCCAGAGTGTCCACTGTTGTCCATTATAGGTTTCAGTTTCTTCACCACAGTTTCATACAGGCCTAATGGACATATTTTATCAATTTTGCTGCAAATTTACAAAACAATTCTCATCATTCAGGAGCCATTTAAATTTTCTCTCTAGCCCAAAACAGTTGAAGAACATGGTATTGTGACTTGTGCATGATAAAATCTACGTGGGGCTGATTTTTTCTGTCTGTGTTCAGATAGCGTTATCTCATGAATGCCTTGTGCTACCACGATAAACCAAATATTCATGTAAAGCTTGTGTTCTCTTCTTTATGAAACCATTTGAATGAGAGTTATGATCATTTAAAGAGCACTTGTAAAAAAGTGAGTCCAGCCTTCTGCCAAGCAGAGAGTTGGCTTTTTCCACCAGCTTATCCAGCCGTCTCAGTGGGAAGAAGAGGCGGCTCTGTCTCTTCCTGTAGAGAGCATTGGTGTTCAGCAACCAGTCCAACTTGCCATCCAATAGGACCTGTCCTTGCCTTGTATGGAGACTGGCAGATGGGATGCTCTAGCTCTACTGAAATCAATCACCATCTCCTTGGTTTTAGTTGTGTTAAGTGGGAGGCAGCTCCCACTGCATCAGTCCCTGAAGGCCTCACCAAGGTTCCTGTATTAGTGCTCTTGTCCACTACTGATTCATGTCACAATAACTGTGTCATCACAGTATTTTTGCATGTATTTAAAGTCCGCTGTTTATAGTGTTAACATGAATGGTGCTAAAACAGGCCACTGTGCGCCCGCTGTATCACACCTCACCGTCCCAGAAACACAGTTGACCAGCCTGACGAACTGAGGTCATGCTAACAGTTTGTTCCCCAGGACATCAGGAAGGGATCCACACCCAACCCCTCCAATATGAGAGGCTGGAGTTTGTCCAAAACACTAGAGAAATCAATACACTAGATTCTCACATGCATCCTGGCTCTCTAGGTGTGTGTAGGTCCTGTGCAGCATGTAAAGGACTGTATACAATGTGGTCCTGGTGACAAAAACTGGAGGGGTCCTGGACACGAAGCCTAGACTCATGAGGGGGAGGGCCAGACACTCCAGGGTCTTTATAATTTGGTAGGTTAAGGTCATATATTTTTCTCAACCGGTCAATATACTCTGAGCGCCGGTTTGAGAGAGGATGTTTTCCACTATTCCAGGACCACTTTCCTTTGGCTGCTTCAGGCTTCTCTTCAGTTCCCACTCCAGACACCTGAGCTTCTCCTTGTCCTCCTCTTCGAATGCCTGCTTTTTTTCTAGTTAAGGAGCTTTTTCATGATCCAGGATTTATTTATTTATTGGGAAAGCAGCCACATGTTTCTAACTGGAGCCACAGCATGCCTACAAAAGCTAATGTAGTCCCTGATGGTGTCCATCCTGCTGTCATTGTCCACATCTATGTTGTTATCCTGTGACTCCGGCAGCACACTCCAGTCTGGGCACTTGAAACACTCCCTAAGACACCCGTTAGCCTCCAGAGACAATTTCTTGAATAAGCGGGTGGTGACAAGCCGCCTCATTACACAGGGTTTATGTGTGGGCTGAAGAAAGACCAGATTGTGATCTGATCTGACAAGTGGTGGTAAAGCAGCGATATCATTCACATTAGCATCTTAATGCTAATCAGTGCTTGTTTATTCTAACTAAAGAGCTGAAAAATATTTGCTGATTAATTCTACCAACAGTAATAGAATACCAGTCTTCTTTTCTGTGTTATATAATGTTGTAAATAGAACATGTTGATGAGTTTTGGCCTGTTTTAACTGATCATACAGAAGAATCCACAGGTGTTTTATTTATTCTGTGATATTTTAAAGAAATATTCACCCATTTTATGCAAAGAGCTGCACTCTCTGTGTTCCCATCCACCACCTTTACATCTGTGTTTTCCTGTCCTTCTTCCACAGGCTGTAACCGGGAAGAGCTTTGGAGACAAGGACTTCCGCAGTGCGTTGGAGAACGGCATCCTGTTATGCGAGTAAGCCTGTGACCTCACTTCATATCACTTTTTGATGTCTCAAACATCACCAACATGCACAAACTCCCATAAGACTCAATAAATCTCGGCCTCTCCTCCTCCTCTACACAGGCTCCTAAGTGCGATCAAACCAGGACTCGTCAAGAAGATCAACAGGCTGCCCACCCCCATCGCCGGGCTGGTAAGGAGACACTCTCCAGTGCGACACTGATCTCTGTAAATCACCCCTGTTCAAGTGATGAACTGACCGCCTGTTGCTGTCTCCTCCAGGATAACCTGTCAGTCTTTCTGCGTGGCTGCGAGGAGTTGGGCCTGAAGGGCGCCCAGCTGTTTGACCCAGGGGACCTGCAGGACACTTCCATACGAGCTAACCTCAAGTAAATGAGTGAATGTGCAAATGTGTGGTTTGTGTTTTTTTACAGTAGCAGAGTAACATGCAATAGTAATATTCTTCTCTCTTGTTAGGGACTCAGACTGCAACCGCAAACTAAAGAATGTGAGTTGTTATCATTTTTTTTCTTTCGTTAGCTTGAGTATTAGTCTTTTTGGCATTTATAAATATACCCTAAACCCCTGTGGCTGTGTCTCTCAGGTGCTGAACACAGTGTACTGGTTGGGGAAAGCTGCCAGTGGCTGTGCTTCCTATAGTGGGCCTACTCTAAACCTCAAGGAGTTCGAGGGGCTTCTTGCTCAGATGAAGTTGGTGAGTGAAATCACAGCGAGGTACAGGAATGGCAGATGGTGTGGGGGATGGACCTGTTAGTTTCCTGTCTTTGTTGGGGTGTCCGAGATGGGAAACAGGAGACGGGTTTGTTTTTGTTACACAACAACACCTGCAAACAGGATATGAAAAATTGTTCAGACTGGATCTGTGGACTCCATTGAATCAAGTCTGTTTAAATAAAATACCCTTTTCTAGTTTTTGCTTCTTAGACTTGACGACCCCTAACTGAGCTTCATCATGCATTGCTCCTGCTTCACACAGTCGACTGCATATTAACCTGAGATACAATTAACTTGAGATCTGTGGACTCAGTGGTGTCTTTTAAAAACAGCTAAAAACTCATCTTTTTAAACATGCTTTTGGTTGATTTTTATTTTTATGTTTTAGCTTTACAAATACAATTTTACTTACTTAATTTACTTAACCTGATGTGTGTGCAGGAGAGCGAGGAAGGAGGGGACAGTTCACAGAAGCGCAGTGTTAGAGACAGCGGTTATGACTGCTGGGACTCTGAGAGGAGTGAGTCCCTTTCTCCGCCACGGCACACTCGAGACAACTCCCTAGACAGGTGAGACACATCTGTCAACACTCCTGAACATGCTGTATAATTTGCTGTTGCAGGCACAAGGGTATTTAAAATGGACCTATTATGCTATTCCTAATTTCCTAACGATGGCAGATGCTTATATTAGGCATGGCCAAAGTTTATAATAAAAAGGTCAGTGGGGGCTGCGAGGCTCAGGTTTCAGACTGCTGTCGACATTCATACAGAGTTTTTCGCTTTGTTCTGTATGATGTCACAGAGAAAGAACGGGTTCCCTTCCCACCAGGTGTTCACACCTTATTTTTAAATGGAGGTGGGGGCATGGATCTAAATATGGACAAAAGTAATGGTCCATCTATCCATCACACCTACAAGAGCTGCTCAGCCCGCAGAAACCCATGCCATGAAGCATCCGGCACACAGTTTTTGTTCTGATGTTAGAGTGTATCAGAAGAGAGCACTGCACTGCTTTTATCTTTGCCAGGCCAACTCTGGGCCCCAAGCCTTATGTTTGACACCCCTGGTCTACCCTGAATTGCACAGCTTTTGACCTCCATTTGTGTTCAAACAAGTGTCCCATCAGTGACTTCAGTTACATCATGTCTAATGTATTCTGGTATGTGTCCTTTTGTTCTTGCCAGTCTGGATTCCTTTGGCTCACGCTCGCAGCACAGCCCTTCTCCCGACGTCGTGAATCGAGGAAACAGCGACGGTCAGTTCTGATGAAATGCCTCTGAAGTGGATCCTGTTTTTATATTTTCAGAGAGCTGTTTGCTTCTCACCACTTCTACTGTGTCAAGCCTTTGTTGCTAAGCTGATGGCCTGCAAAGCTCCCAAATGACTCTCAAAGGAAAACTGCAAAAGTGTAGATACCCAAATACTCAACTACAGCATTCCTTTAAATACAAATCTGCTCGTCCAGAATTAGACTCACTGCTGTTCGACAGCATGTTGGTTGTTTAACCTTCATATAGTGCAACTGGTCAGACTGGCTGAGGGCAACAGCTGAATATCACAGTGTGTGTGTGTGTGTGTGTGTGCGTGCATGTATGTGTGTGTTTTGGATCCCAGATGCAGCAGCTGTTGGTCTCAGTAGCAGTCTCTAGAGGTTTGGAACTGTGAAAAGACACAGGCTGAGGTTAACATCCTGCCTGTCACACGCCGTGTGTGTGTGTGATGGAGGGAGGGGGTATCACAGACATCCTGTTTGTGTCTTTTATGTCGACACTATAATGTACCGTATGCTCAGCAGGGTTACAAGAAAAACACTACCCCCAAACCACAAATAGCCTTATTCCCTACATTTCCTTTAGGTCACGGAGGTAGGAGTAGAAAGGACTTTGTGATGTTGCTATAAATTGATAAAATGCTTAAAAGTATCTATAATGATCATGTCACAAGTAATAAAAAAATACGGTGTTACTGTTTCTTTGGCAACATTTAGAAAGAACATTTACACAAAAGATTACCATGTGATCTGTGTCTGAGTGCTTCAGCTGGGTAATGACATCTCATCCGTGGGTGTTCGCACCTGGTATAAATAATTGGTACTAATCTCATTATCTTGATCCTGCACTTATTGTGGTTGTTAATGTGCAAATTAGTTATCTGGAGCCTGTCGAACTTGTTGACAAACAGGATTCATGCCAAAGGGGATTGTCACTGCCTTCAGTCACTTTTTGTGAATGAAGGCTGGTTGGGCTAGTGGGAGATATTTGCTGTCAGGGCTTTGAGGCAGAAGGCATTCCTTTCTTTGATGTTATTTTCAGTTTTCAGTTGCAGTCTGGTTAGATTTGAGAAATAGCTCTGCTCGGGCAAGTTTAGGAAAAGATGGTTTGGGTTGAAATACATCCTTTTAACAACATTAACCACATCTTAGATTGCAGTCTGGGAGGCAAACTCCTGCTATGTAAGAATCTGATGAGTCTTTTTTAAGCTACCAGGAGGAACTGAAGTGGCCTTTAAAATGTATTGGCTGCATTTAAATGTCGTTTCTCTTCTCCTGATAAGAGTCAACTACAGATTGCATCTCAGTGTCAGTGAAAACTGGGTCCTGTATGTCTCTATGTGTTATATCGAAGGCCTAATTTGAAGTAACTGCACGACCTTCAGCATTATTTTCTCTGTAATGCTCTGTTGCTCTTTGTTGCCCAGGGCGAGGCAGCGACTCGGAGGCCGATGCCCCCAACAGGAAGCCAGATGTGCGGAAGGATGACATGTTGGCCAGAAGGACTTCCAGCAAAGAAGCAAGAAGTTCTGTCCCCTTTAACCAGTTTCTTCCTAACCGAACCAACGCCACCTCCTACGTCCCAACTCCACGGCGAAAACCACATACGGAAGAGAGAGAGCAGCGGAGGTAATGAGCAACATATTAAAAATAAATTATTTGGCTTTAAATGATTTCCAAAGCAATACAAGTGTCACTGTGGAAAAACAAAAACCGAGGTGAAAAAAGAGGTAAAAACACAAAAAACACAAATGTGCTTTTTTAAATCTTCCTGCCATTCCTCAGTCAGCCACAAGCTACTGCAGATCAATGCAAAAAAATTACACTCCTCCACAAAACCTCCAAGACTGTCACTTGGGCACCTGAGAACAATGGGGAAAAACAGGAAGAGGAAGTGGTCACCCAGGAAGTGTTGGAGCAGAGGAGGATGCAGAAGCTGGAGAAGGCGGGAATTAAAGTTCTTCCTGCTGTCGTTCGCTACAGCAGGTCAGGGAGGATGGGCATGAGAACTCCTGCCTCTGCTGTGGTGGAGAAACGGTTTTGTTTACATGCACTAACATGAACTTCTGATGGTAGAAACAGGTGCTCTGGATGAACCTTTGGCTTAGTGATGCTGTCTGCCTGTAACTGTCTTGCTGCTTTAAGGAGAATGTTTGTGTGATAGCCCACTGATGTCTGTTGTGACTGTGAACTAACTGATTTGTCATTGCTGGTTTTATGGAGAAGAGACATATAGGAGCAGTTAAGCCATGTCACTTTGTGTTGTGATAGAGGTTTCAGCTGATGGGAATTCTGTGTGGTTGTGTCATGTTTCTAAAACACATAAAGACACATCTGACTACTGACCTGGACTAACAACCGTTTGGGCGCATGTCAATCAAAACCCGCACATTACTATCCTCTGAAACTGCCTCGCTGCACTACCCCGTCTCTAACCCCAGCCCTCCCGAAACGGAGGAAAAGGAACCGAGGTCACCATCTCCGAACATCATCCTCCGCCGTGATAACGACTTTTTGAGCTCCCAGAAGTCTGCGTGGGATTCCCCCTCTGACGGGGAAGAGGAAGCAGCAGTGCGTAAAGTTCCAGATGTCCAGAAGGATGACTTGGCGTCCAGGCGAGCTCATCGTGGCACAGTCGCACCCAAAGTGCACCAGTTCATCCCTCCTCCATTATGTACCGATAAAGACAGAGAGCGCTGGGAGGGCATCAGACGAGCCTCGCAGCAAATGCTTCAGGAGAAGGAGATCAGGTTAGCAAAGCGTGGTGTTGTTTTGACTCCATTTACTCTCGCTCACCTCTAAACGTTCTTCTCACTCTTTGTTTCTTTGCCTGTTGCGGTCACTTGTGGTTTGATGTGTTGCGCTCCACTTTGATGTGTGCCGTGTGATGCTGCTGTACTGGCTCTGTGGTTGGACAGTGAGAAGGAGGCGGTTGCTGACATCATTACACGCAAAGACAACCCCTTCCTAAACTCTCCCTCTTGCCACGAGGAAGAGGAGGATGAGGAGGACGAGGGACACGAGGGGAAGGTTAAAGCGATGCCTAATAAGCAGAAGGACGACCTGGCTCGTAGACGGGCTCAGAGTAGGCCCCTCCCTCACAGGGACGGCCCGGTCAGCTTTGTGTCTTCCTCCATGAGCCAGGCAGATATGCAGAAGTGGGAGAGACTCAGGATGAGTGAACCAAGGTGCCCAAAACACACACAGTCTGTTTCAGCAAACACGCAAGACAATGCATGTAAATGCTGCTGTATGCAAAGTGTGTGATCTTTAAGAGGTGACAAGAGAATGGGTGGTGTGGGTGGGTGTGTTTCTTGTTTTATTTTAGTCTTCATCAGATCATCAAACTATTTATTGGTAAGCAGTTCTCATATAAAGAAGTGTTTAATTCATTTTTTAGCTGAAGCAATATAGATTCAGTTTGTGTCAGCCAAGTGAAATTATAATTTTAGAATAAATAATTGTAAAAAAAAACCAACACGTTCAGCCCGTTAAACAGCCAGAGGAAAATTCAGAGATTTTGTTTCAGACTTGATTGTTAAATGAGATAATAAATGATAATAAATGAGATAGGTATGAGTTTTAAAAAGTTTCAGAGTAGCTTTGTTTCACTTCAGCTTTTTATTGTATAAAATGTTTTGTTACAGTGTATGTTTTATTAGTTTCAGTGTCACTTTGATTATTTTAGTTGATAAGGATAAGAACAGGTATTGTAGTACAAACCTTGTGTTGTAGACGTCATAGTCTCAATAAGCATATCTAACAAAGCCTCCTCTGAAGACATATTTCTATAATATTATTTTTTGGCACAATAGCATTTCTGTTTGTTTTCATTTTTTAAAGCATGTTTTTGTTTATTTTGATTTAGGTTTTTTTAAAAATTCACACTAAGTTTTAAGTTTTGGTCAACAATAATAACCTTTTTTTTTTTTTTTTTTTTTTTTTTTTTTTTTCTAAATTAGAAAAAAAAACAATAATAACCTTACACCACAGTGGTATCCGTTTTTGGATCTTGTTCCTGGCAAGTGAGCATAGTTCTCAAAATGTCAAACACTAATTTTACTACACACCTGTGCCACGGCACTATTTGGCTCATTCGTGCTGTTGGCAAAGTGACATATTTAATCACATTGATAAAAGTTTAAAAACATTAGGCGTAGTAGTGTTTTTCAGTGTTTATGCAAGGGAACAAAAGGGTCCCTTTAGCCTTTTGCTAGGTGGTTGCTAGACAACACGATGACATCATAGTATCTGATATAGATAAAAACCTTCAGGGGCCTAAATGTATCTGTGTACCAAGTTTAGTGGCTCAACTCCTAATGGTCTAGGAGGAGTTTGCGGACAAACAAGCAAACAGACAGACGTTTCCGTATCATAGTCACATTTATTACATTTACGAACAATTAAATAATCATCAACAATGTGAGCTGTCACTAGTTAAGCCTTTAAATTAAATAACGTTTATAGCCCTCCCAACAGTCTCTTACTGTTAGATATTTAGAGTAATTTTAAATTACATCTCTCTGGACTTTCCCTTCTTCCCTCGTCTCTGTTGTCCCCCTGTGTTCTCGCCTGCTGTTTGTTCTCCTCATCATTGTGCACTTCAGTCCTCTTCAGTCTTCTTTGACAGGACTTGAAAAGGAGCAGGGAATTGGCCGGTGTGTATGAGACCGTGTGTGAGACCAAAAAAGAGGCGACTGTTGGCTGCGAGCACTACTTGGCTTTGTTTTTCTCCGCCTGTGCTGATGTCATTAGATAGGATAAAGACTTTTTTGTGTTCCCAGAGGAGCAGCAGTGAGCAGAAAATGTGACCACCTAGAATAGATCTAATCCTTACTGTGTGTGTGTGTGTGTGTCTGTGTCTGTGTGCGAACATGAGTGTTTGAGTAATTTGGATATAAAATCCCATGCTTTGTCCTCTTTTGTGCATCCATCCTCACTATCTGACTCAACATTTCCATGTAATCCTTCTTTTGTTTTCACAGTCTCATCCTCCGTCTGTAGTTGCTCATTATTTCTTTTCCCCCTGCTTGTGGTGTTGCTGGTGTTGTGTGTGTGTGTGTGTGTGTTTGTGGCTGTGGGTCTTAATTTGTGAGACTGTATGTACAGTGATACTAGCCCAGGCCCCGTGTGTCAGGCCTGCCTGGTGAAAAATTATGGAGGTCCCTTCAGCGGATCAGCAAAGGCTGGACGAGGTCAAGGCAAAGTTGTGACCTTTGGGGGCGTGACTGAGATCGAGCAGCCAATAGACACAGTCATGTCGAGTGAAGGCGAGGAGACGGAGTTACTTAGACGACTCCTTTCCAAGGCAACCGTAGCCATGCCTACCATTGGCCTGGGCTCCCAGCTTTCAGAGTGGGAACGCAGGTATGGACGCGGCCAAACAGAGGCAACTTAGTGGTTTGAATTCCAAGTCGCTTGCATTAGTATGGATCGCACCAGGGAAGCTTTTGTGCTGCATCACTTGTTGCATTGCTCCTACTTGAATTTGTATAATAGGTAGTTTGAATGGTCTTTCCTGCAATGTCCTGATTTGCTTGTAGTTTTAATGGGCAAGGAAAGCCTACACATTGACACACACACATGCATGTAGTAAATACTGCAGCAAACGGAGCTTGATAAATCTGCCGGGCAGCTCATACGTCAGCTGTAGGGGTTTTTCCTGGTTCAGAATGAGCCTTTAACAGAAGACCATGTACACAAGCACTAATACATACATATAGTAAAGTTCCTGTTGCTTATGAGCATGTGATGAATAGAAATGTGCTTAATTAAATGCAGTCACAAATACAAAAAATACAAACTGAAGGGATTTTCCTTTGGCTCTGACTACATTCTCTCTAAGAGGCTGTCAGAATTTTTTATCTGCAGGAAAAACCCTGTCGCAGATTTATCCTTAAATCTGATTTATGAAAGCCAAATGATTTAGTTATTAAGAAAAGTCATGGCCTCACTTATTTAAAGAGCAAATTTTGACCAGTTTTGTCAGGGTGTTGACTCAGCAATGTCTCATCATGTTTCTCGAACACGTTGAGATGGTCACTTCGAATCTGGAACAAACATTGGCTCACATTCAAGGACTAGAATTTGATGCTCAGTCTATTTTTGTCCCAATTAATTATATTATTATACAGATGTATAATAAAATAGAAAATGAAAATATGAAACAAAGTGTTTCATTTTTCATCATCAAGTGAACATCTGTTGATGTTGTGCACTTTTCTGGCCATTAATATCCGAGGGGGAGATTGTCACAATACGTCAGCCATGAACATACAAACGTACAAGATGATAATAATAATAATAATAACTAAAACACCTCTTGAATATCTTAGTTTTGTACCTTTGTCACGTTTGTGTGCTTTTTCCCCCCTAAATCTTGAATGTTGATATTTTCTTCTCTGGTCTGTGCTCTTGCTGCTGTGCTTTCCTGCATGTCGATGCCTGGGCTTTGTGGCCATATCTGGGTCATCTGCAGGTGCACGTGACCTGTTTTTTGCTGCTGTAGTTTGAGCCTTTATGCAATACTCCAACAGCCAGGTAGTTGGAGCTGACCCCAATCAAACTACCTCTCCCTCTGATGACCTCCCACCCTGGACCACCAAGGCCACTCCCACTCCCGCTGAGATCGATGCCCGCCTGGCTCAATATGAGGGGAGATCAGAGGAAGAGGAGGAGGAGGAAGAAGAAGAGGGGAGAGTCCCAGATCTTCAGAAAGACGACATGATGGCAAGGAGGACGGGAGTTTTCCATAAACAAAGCGCCTCTACAGTGACTTACAACCGCTTCCTACCTCTGCCTTCCTCCAAACGCTGCACACAGGGAGAGGTAACCACAGACGCTGCTCCGCAGAACAAGAAGAAAGTGCAGGCAGACAGGAGCAAGAAACTGGACGTCAGGTGGGCTGAGCTGTGATCTGGAGTGTGTCTAACAGGGTGCAGATGCAACTAACAAGCTCGGGTGTTGTTTGCATCATAAAAGAGGTTCTATAACTTGGTGTTTAGTTCTTTCAGTTAAAAGACTTTTTGTCACAGAGTGGAGCACCAGCAGCCCATGGAAGCACCTCAACAGCAGGTTGAGACAACAGTGATCCGATCAGCGTCTCAGGGAGAGTGGGAATACGGTGATAATGAGGATGAGTGTGGTGAAAATGTGCCTGCGCCTGACCCGGAGAAAGATGATATGATGGCTCGAAGGACGGGGTCGTTCCAAAAAGCGAGCACAGCTAAAAGAAATCAGTTCCTGCCTGTTCCTGGATCAGTGAAGTATAACATCAGTCCAGTGTCTGCTATGAAGCAGCTCCACAGCAGGCCTAAGCTGACAGAAAAGAAGGAGGGTGAAAGGTATTTAATGAAAAGAAATCGTGGCACTTGTGAACTACTGCAACTAACAAAGAGTGTTTATTGGCAAGGATTAAGGTTTAATGATGTTTACTTTACATCTTCAAGTACTAACATTAGCATGTGTCCTGGGTGAATTACAGTCCCGACTTGCCTGCATTGTTGCTGTGAGTGTTTCTGAATGCCTGCAGCGTGGAGTGTGATGTTCATTCATTCATATGAAAGGATTGGTTGACTTTGATTTGCTGCTGTGGTCGGATTCTCGCAGCACAAATGAGCCACGTGGTTTGGCTCATTTGTGCTTTGGTTGAATGTTTTGTCGTGACATCTAACGTAGGTTTTGTTAGGCGTGACTTTTGTCGTTGTTGTGTAAAGGACTGTTGGCTATGAATCACGGCTGAATCACATAAATGGCTGCTGTTTCAGTCTGAAGAGGTTGAAACTCTTAAAGGTTGGGTCACCCTAATTATGTGAAAATGTAAACTTGAAAAAGTCTATAAATACTTAATCTGTCTTTGGCAGAGATCTGGCTTTAGGGATGAGAAACACATTTATGCAAATTATAAAAATTCTCCAAATCTATAAAACTGCCAGAAAGCTTTGCCTATTTATGTAAACTAGTACTTACCCATGCTGCAGTGCTGTGTAGTATTTTCATGCTGTTGGCAAACCAATATACTTCATCACTCTAAGAGAGTGTGATTACTTATAGTAAATAGTCCATTTTTGGGTCCCCAGTAATGCTCAGATCCTTCTAGTCCATTGTTAGGTGGTTGCCATGCAACATGATGGCATTATAATATATCATATATCTCATAATATGTCATGTTCATGTTTTGTGAACATAAATAGAATCTTAATAAAGTGAAATGATGCAAAAGTATCATTTTACAAGATGATATAACATGTAGTAGCAAGATTTACCTGTGTGCCATGTTCAATATCCAGTTAAATTACCATCATTACAAATAATTACCTAAATCTTCTGCATCACCCTCTAAATATATTGTTCTGGTAGTCTGGTTGTTTTGTTGATAATGACATTTGTATCATTGTACAATTTCCAATAAAGAAAGATGCTATCAGGTGTTCCTTAGGGGGTCTCTACAGCAGGTAGCGCCGCATATTTGATCTGGCAGATTTTTACACCAATGACGTAATGCCTTTCTGAACACAACCCCAAAGGGATTTGTGTCTTCCAGAATGAAACCAGGGATCTTTTTCTTCTTAGGTTAATATGTAAACTAAGCCACATCATTATGGAGCCACTATAATCTGCTCAGTTCAGTTTTTCAACTGCAGAGAACTGCAACAATTCTCTATAAGCAAGCACTTGGCAACTGTATGAAGGAAGAACTCCCCTTCAACAGCAAGAGACTTGGTAGCTGCTACAGAGAGCATCTAGTGTAATACAGTGTGACTTTAAAATGAATCCGTGAAACAGAACTGATGAAACAGTCTAAAAACTCACACTCCACCTTCTTGGTTCAACAGCAAAGTTGAACTTACAGTAGATCAGATGAAAAGTTGACAAGAAAAGCATTATTATGTTGTTTGGGTGACCCGACTCTTTAAGCACTGTCTAACCATCCCCGCTCAGTGATCTCATAGCAGGCTGTAACATACCCAGAGTGGATCAGCTTTCAGTCTTCAGTGATGCAGTTTTAATTTCCCCTATAAGCATATTTTCTGTTAATACTGGCCTTGTCACTGGGTTGCTGTTCCAGCAGTATTGTTGCTGTGGCAGCAGAGCCACAGGCCCTGCCCTCCAAAGCTCCAACCAGTCCCACGTTTGCAGTGCTGAGAGAAAGGCGTGAGGAAAAGGAGGAAAAGCAAGAAAGCGAAGGTGCGATGGTCCCTAATACCTCTGCCACAGTTACTGCTGAACCCCTCTTTTCTCCTTCACTCGTGCCTGCACCCAGTCCTGGTCCTGCACAAGTCTGTAGTGTAAAGTCAGGGCTGGAAAAGCAGAAAGTGGAGGAGAGAGTTGAGGAAAAAGCTGAGGTGGAGGAGAGAAAGAAGGATGTAAATGAGAAACCTCGAAAGAAACCCTTCTGGCTGGAGGACGACGAGCTTCCTCCAATGATGTGAGATAACTGTTAAGCTTTTTGTGCATGTGTTATCACTCCCCCTCCCAGATTTGATGAATGGGATTGTTGCTCTGCTTTTCTAGCAGGTTTTATTTGTTATGATTTTGTTCAGATGTGCAAAGCAAAACATTTCCCTCTGTTAGCGATTCACACGTTAAATTGCTAGCTTTGAAAAATATTGTGTGCATTTAGGGCGCCTGCAAACCCCGCTCTTACCCATACCCTCACCTGCTCTTTCCTCTCATCTACTTGCTGTTTTAGGATGAGCCGACGTGTTGCTTTTATGTCTGAGGACACCGAGTAAGTGTTTATCTGTGAATCTGGATGAGCACCTGCATGATAACAATATGGACACACTACACATGCCACAATTCATGAGTAGAATCCAAAAATATGCTCACAATAATGTGCTTTGATACATTTTAATTCATCAATAGCGTCAGGCTGTTGGTTTCCATTGATTGCTTTTACATATAAAACTACACATCAACATAGACTCCTTCATCAGATTGTACTACATTGCAAAGTTGAATGACTGTGTTTCTTATCTTATGTTCATAGACTGTATGTAAAAGATGGACACAGCCACTGTGCCACACTCACTGGTTAGTATGGTTAGTTAGTAAGTCCCATATGCTTGGAGATGAGCATTTTTGTCAAACACTATCTTGATGTTTCAAAACTGTACTCAATGAGGAAGAAGTGGATCTAGCTGAGAAGCTGGGTTTATACCAACTTCTCTGTCTACCGAGGACCATAACACACTTGAAACCAGGAAGTGAGCCCATAAATTCATCAGGAAGGGTCACGAAGAAACGAAGCACAGGCGTTTTCTATTTTACCGTGTACAACTGGAAGCCTCTTTTTCCATCCACAGGAGTCGCCCCCTGCTGGTGTTAACAGGAGTGCAGGTTTTAAACCTAGAAGCCATGTCCATCTTTTATATACAGTCTGTGGTTGTGTTTGCTCAGTTTATTAGCTGGTTCGTGATTAGTTTGCAGAAGCAGTAACATGTCTTTGCTAGTGTTACTGTGTTGAGACACGGGCAACACATACACAACTAATATACAGAAAGATTGATTTTATTATATTTTTTCTATCATGCTGTATTTGTTTTTTTTTCATGTATAAATAATATATTCATCCTTGAACCAAAAGAACCCAGATCCAGGATAGGACGTATGGACATTATCCAGACTTTAAAAAGAAAGGTTGTTACCTTGTGAACAATGTTTTAAAAAAAAACTCAAAACATTTATTTCTAACTTCTATCAAAGTAGCAAAGAAAGTTAAGGAGGGCATTTTGTATTCTTAGTGGACAGTTGTTGGTTGTGCATGTCTTTCTCCGTGTTTGTGTATATTTATAGAAAAAAATCGCAGTTGCATTTATTTTCAAGACTTTTTTTCCTGTTTTTGCTGCTTTTTTTTTTTTATCATGGACTATGTGTTGTTTTAGACTAGTGCTTGGGTGTTATTTTAGGCTCTGTGTTATACACACGTTGATGTCACTAAATGCAAATAATAGATTAAATTTGCTGGAGGGGTTTTCCAGAGCCAAATCAGGCAAAATGATTAACTGTGGCGTTTAAGGGATTTATCTAAAGTAAAACTATAGCCTTTGTTTTTCTAGGAGTGTGAGTATGGGTGACATGCTTAACGAGGAGGAGGTGGGACACTTACCGTCGCTGAGCCAATCGCGACATGAACACATGCACGAGCAGTACAACAACTTTCTGGAGGATGAGGACCACTGGCAAGATGTGAGTGATGTGAGGAAGCATTTAGGGTGCATTGGGAAAATAAGAACCACATATTAATGATGTGAACTTGTGACAGGACCTTGCTCGCTGGAAGAATCGCCGCCGCAGCGCGTCACAGGATCTAATCAGAAAGGAGGAGGAGAGGAAGAAAATAGAAAAGAGGATGAAGGGGGAGGGACGTGACGGCAATAAGAGGAAGAGCATTAAGACTTATAAAGAGATCGTGGAGGAGAAGTAAGGATTATACAGAGACCATTTTTCTTGCTTTCCTTACAAACATACTTTATTTAGTGTCGTGACAGTATTTCTACCTTTGGACAAATGCTTTGTGTTGCTGCTCTTTTTAGGGAGCGCAGAGAAGCAGATCTGTGTGAAGCCTACAGAAGCGCAGCGACTCCAGAGGAGGCAGCCTTGGTTTTGCAGCGCTATGCTCTCCGCTTCACCATCAGTGATGCAGTACTGGACACCCTAAAACTACCCAGATCCACCTCCACACCCAAAAACGAACTAAATGAGCTGGACAAAGAGCAGAAGCCAGAATCACCTGTTAATAACGCTGAGATGTCAGAGGCTCTGCGCCAACCAGAATCATCTGTTAATAATGCTGAGATGTCAGAGGCTCTGCGCCAACCAGAATCACATGTAGGTACAAATCAGGAGCACATGAAACCTGAAGAGATAGAGACAGACACATCAGATCAGCAAGAAAAATTAGCCACCAGCCCTCTAACACCAAACAGTCCAACCAGTCCTCTGTCCACAGTCACAGACTCACTGAGTGCGTCACCTCAGTCTCTGGAGTTTAATGAACCCCAGACCCAACTAATGGAGTCTCCAACTGCGCAACAGGCTGCGATCACAGGAGATCCACAGCCTCAGACAAAACACACTTCACCTCAGAGTGCGCAAGGGCAGCCTCACCCCACACAGTCGGCAAACGCTCTCCCCTCCCCACCATCTGTGTCCTCCAGGCCCATCCCCCTGCTGGCAGCCAAACCCTACTGCCAGCCTGGGGCCGTCCTCCCTGGGCACAAACCTATTAAGGTAATGACTCAGATCCATCAGGATTGACTGATAGCTGGTACCTGTGTTGTTTGTAGCTTTTAATGTTTTTAAAGTTTTATTATTTTCCTCTTGCTCATCAAAACCTTTTGTAATACTCTTCATGAAAAAAATATCATGGGCGACTTTTTTATTAGTATTATTTTTTAAAGTATTCATTATGAAGATTTAAACACTAATGAAAATGTAAAACTGTATGTATTTTCCCATCCATATAGTCTAGGTAAAATATCCCTGTAGTCCTAATGTTTGTTTACATGTAAATAACACTAAATTTTGCCATTAGTAATTAAAGCCTTCACATGGCTAAATGGTTAATCCTTAGATTAGACATTGCAATGCAAGTGTAAGCAAATATCAGTTTCGGGAAGAATGAAAACAAAAGTGGACCCAGCAGCAGACATGGGAAGCAAAATGTGAAAACTAAAGCTGAGCTTTTTACATTTTTTATTAAGCAAGAAAAGGTGAAATGAAAAATGTACAAGCCCCCCAAAATAATTGAAAAGTAGGGAAAGGGAACAGAGGCAGCAGGCAGTCAGACTACAGAGACAAACAGGTGAACAGAGGGAAATGACAGGAGGGAACGGGACACAGGTGTGGGCAGAAAGCAGGCAGAAACAACATGTGAAAACAGGAGGTAAACACAAGAGACACATAACAAACAACAAGTAGATGAAAGTGTTTGCACGCATAGACATGGCTGAGGGAGTCAAAGGCAGGAGAACACTGAGGAGTCGTCAATAACAGAAGCAAGACAAGGACCAAAAGCTCGATAAACGCAAGAATCAAAAACTTCACAAGCAGCAGAACAGCATTGATAACAAAACAGAAACAAATCTCAATAATATTAAACAAGAATCCAAAACTGAGAAACAACACAAAAGCCCCATCAGTGTCAACAACTGTATGACTTTTCCTGTCATACAATAATTGGAGTCTTGTGTAAAAACAGATCATTATAAGCAGCAATTTTTTATTATTAACGAATAATGTGTCTTGATGAACACACTAGCCCTTACATATGCTTTTAACTACATTATAAGTTTTATAAACCATTTCTTAAACCCTGCAGCACCAAATGTGTCATATTCAATACATGGGTTTTTGAGCCCTAAAGCAAAGGTTGCAAAAATGATACAAATTGAAACTTGTCAGAAGGTTCAATAAGCACTCCAGTTAAAAAATTGAACTTTCTGACAGTTGGTGAACATGGTTTAGGCTTTACAGGGTTAAAGTTTGTACAGTTTTAGTAAATGCCAAATAGGTTGGCTATAGTTACTCATCGCCTTTCTCTGCTTTCCTCTCAAAAGGACGGGTTGGTACGAGTGAATGGAGAGGAGACGGAGGAGCTAACTGTTTCCACTCCACCTACCTCCCCTCAGCACTCACCACAGGAGACCAAAGATGTTTTATCCAAAGAGGCGGAGAAAGATGCTCCACCTGTGGAGGCTGTTAAAAGTGCCGAGACTGCAGAGCAGCAGCCTACGGAGACAGAGAAGTCAACGCCGTCTTCAGGCTCTGCCATCAGCTCCCTGATCGAAGGTCGAAACTGTATCATCACAACAACTATTGTGACAGAGCTTACGCAGAAGGTTGTGGAGCCGCTTCACACAGACACCCAAAACGACGGAGAGGTAATGCTACAAGTGACATATTAAAAGATGCTTCCTATTCGTCCCATTTAGCAAAAGTACCACACAAAAACTTTCATTCTGCTACAGTCATTTCTTCCAGTGATGGATCTCCCTTGTAAAGTAAAAGTATAGTTTAAAGAAGATCACGTTATTGAACAATTACATTAATGTAAAACAGCAGCTGCATAGGGTGTAAAGAGAAAATTCATCAGAGTCTTGAGCAATAGTTCTCCACGGTTTCTGAAGGTCTTTCAAAAAAAATTGTATTGGTCATTATAGAAAGTTGCACAAGGCCCAGTATGAGAGAAATAAGTATTTAGAACTATGAATCATGCAAAGCCACTCAAGCAGGGTTAATTAAGTTTTCATTAATTATTTTTCCTGCCTTTTTATTACCACTGGATAGTTTATAAATATAGTTGAATATTCTCCCCACATATCCACAGGTTGAGACCACTGGCTTGTTTGAGAAACCAGAGGATGAAAAAAATACTCAACCATCTTCCACACCCAGCAGCATGGAAGAATATTCTCCCACCGTCTCGGGTAAAACTGCATTTCAAACAAATCCTTCACAGCGTAGCCGTCCCTTTTCATTTCTCTAATATTCTGCTTGCGTTTGTCTCGTTCCACAGAAGGACTTGAGGAGAGCAGTGTGACCGTGAGTATCTCTGAGCAGCTCCAGCTCCTCCTTTCTGTTTCTCCTTCATTCTTTAATATGATCCTGTCCTGACCCCTCGTCTCCAGTGGTCACTGTAGTCGCTGTAGTCAGACTTGTCCTCTCACCTTTCCTCTCTTTCTGTCCTTTTGGTGGGTATACATGTGTGTGTCTGTGGTTGTTGGTCGGGTCTGGGTAGATTGAGACCCCCATGTTGAACTTGGCTAAACGTGTTAATCACTGGGTCTGGGACCCCAATGAGGAGCGTAAGCGCTTGGAAAGGTGGCAACAGGAGCAGGAGCGCCTCTTAAAGGTACTGCAGTGTAATGATGTGTATGTGCACGAATGCCTTGCAGAAAACAGACTGCACGCGATGTAATGGACACGTGTGTAAATGTTGTGTGTGTGTGTGTGTGTGTGTGTGTGTATTCTGAGCATTCAGAAATTAACATGAACGTGTTTCACTTCAGGAGCAATACCAGCGAGAGCAAGAGAAGCTGATGAAGGAATGGGAGAAAGCACAGCTCGAGGTGGAAGAGGAGGAGAGGAAGCACAATGAAGAGGTGCAAACATCTAGACAGACTCACTTTAAGCTAAAAAAAAAACAAAACTATGTGTGCTGGTTCTGCACGTCCTATTTTTCATCTTTGATTTTTTGTTTTCTCTGTGCTTCTTCCAGGAAAGACGGATTCTAGAGGAGACCGTCACACCCCTCAATCCTACCGGCCTGTTAAACCAGGTGTCAGGACAGACGGCGACAACCTCACCTGGTACAGAAAACGACAACACAAAGGGAAAAAATGTTCCTCTGCAGCACAATGGCCAAAAAATCTCTACAGGGAATGAAGATCAGCATGCATCAAAGCTGCATTTCTTCCAGGGTGAGCATGAAGTACTTACATTTCTGGACCGACAAAGCGAGGGAAAAAACAAACATCTGAAGAAGTTGGATCAAAGAAGCTTTAGCCTGCAAAGGACAACGTTTATAATGAGAACAGTAAAGCATTCTTTAGAGTTTATCATACTATGTTATTCATTTTTATAGATTCTGGGGCTGATGTTGAACCTTCAAAGAAACAGGAATTGTGGAAAACAGCCTCTCTGGACCGCAATACTCAGCTGAACCAGGGACAGGTTGTTAAAAGGTACACCAGGTGGCTGTATATGCCTGTATCTACACCCTTGTGTTATTTTATACAGTTGTTTTACTTATTGGATTGAATTCTGGCAGCAGCAGTTCGCACTTTCGCTCTCTCTGGAGAGCCCTGTGATAAAATAGCAACCTCTCCTGTCTGGTGTTAATATTCAATTGTCAGAAGATTTAAGTTGTTTCTTTTGTTTGTTTGTTTGTTTGTTTGTTTGTTTGTTTGTTTGTTTGTTTGTTTGTTTGTTTGTTTTTGGGGGGTGGGTGCTAGCATGGCACATATCTTTCAGCTGTGTATGTGAATATTTTTCTTTTTTTTAACCTCAGATCTGGATCTCATGATGGTGTTACAAGTGAACAACAGTCCTCCTCTCCAAAGCCTCAGCCTCCCTCACCCAGCAGGTGATGATGCTAGCACACATATGCACCAATGAATACCTGAAATATTACCACAGATCAGCGGATTGAAGATCCATTAATGTGGGGAAAGCAGAGTTTGTATCTGACTAACTGTTCCCCTGCTCTCTTTTTTGTGTAGGTGTGTTAGTGGAAAGAGACTGTGCACTGGTTGTTCTCAGCCTCTGGGAAAAGGCGCTGCTATGATCATAGATACGCTGGGACTGTTTTTCCACATGCACTGTTTCAAGGTTAGCATGCTCATGCAGAATAATTAGATGATTTTATTTTTCCTCCATATCGAAGCAGATACGCAGAGATCACCTGAGCACATCTACACCCACCAGCCACTTTATTAGGTACACCTGTTCACCTGCTTCTAAAAACGAATACCTATTCAACCAGTCACATGCAGCCGCTCAGTGTAGACATGGTCAAGATGGCCTGCTTATGTTCAAAGTGAGCATCAGAATGTGGAAGAATGTAGTTTGAGTGGCTTTGAAGGTGGCCTGGTAGCCAACACTAACTCAAATAACCACTTGTTACAACCAAGTATGAAAAAGAGCATGTCTGAACGCACAACATGTCTGATTGGAAGCAAAAGACCACTCCAGAGCCACTGCTGTCAGCTAAGAAACCTTAGACACAATTTGCTCTTTTAGTCATAATTGGACATTTGAAAACTGGAAAAACATTTCCTGGTTTTATGAGTCTCGATATCTGCTGCAACATTAAGACATGAAAGCATGAATCTATCCTGCTGGGTTGTGTAGTGATGCGGGAGATATTTTCTTGGCACACTTTGAGCCCCTTAGTGCCAACTGAGTATCATTTCAACATCACAAACTATCTAAATATTGTTGCTCAGTATTGTTGCTGACTATGTCCATCTCTTTATGACCACAGTGTACCAGTCTTTAATGACTAGAGTAGCACACCATATCCCAAAGCTGAGATAACCTCAAACTGAGCATCATCTCATCTTCACTGCCTACCTGACAGTTTTTGCTGACCATCTCCATTCTTTTATGGCCACAGTGTACCCATCTTCTGTTGGCTACTTCCAGCAGGATCACACACCGAATCACAAAGCTCAAATACTCTCAAACTGGTCATTTAACACGACAGCGAGTTCACTGTACTCAAGTGGCCTCCACAGCCACCAGATCTCAATACAACAGAGCACCTTGCCAAAGCGGTGTGACAATTTCAATGAGAGAAACATTTGCAAAATTTGTACAGCTGAAAAATCTGCAGCAACTGTGTGATACTCTGATGAATGTTTCCAGCACCTTGTTGAATCTATGACAGCTGATGGCTTAAGAAGCATTTCTGAAAGGAAAAATAAGGGGTGGGCAAGGGGGTCCAATCTGTTAGGTATACATAATAAAGTGGGTGAGTTTATATCACAATTATGTCCAAGGAAGAGAACACATAAAAAAATTGATGCACAACAGGAGTAAAAATGAGAGTTTTCAACATGAAGACAGTCCTGTGTGTACATAATGTTAATTGCCGTATTTCCAAACGCAGTGTGGACTGTGTGGTGTACAGCTTGGTGACGCCACTGCAGGGACTGACGTACGGATTCGTAAGGGAATGCTGAGCTGCCACGAGTGCTACATTGCATCTCGGGGTGAGAAGACACGCGCACCCACACAAACCAGCACAGAGGGACTGCATCCTGTCCTGCACACAGATGGCATACAAAACACATACCTAGCCTGTGTGATGTCACCCGTTGGTTTGTGGGCTCCATTTTGACTTCAGCTTTTTGACTGCTAACATCTTTTTTTTGTTTATCGGATTTTTGTAATGTCTGTGGTGTCTGAGTAACTTCTATAGTATGAGTATATACAGACATCGTTTCTGTCTTTATCTCACATACCAAACATTTTAGATAGTACAAACCATTTCAGTGTAAACTTATTATATGACTGTTAATATTTGTTTCTGTTTGCAGGCCGAGGTCAGCCCACCACACTATGATGACCACTGTTTTGGAGCTGGACCCTCTGTGATTGGGTGGAGAACTCTTCTAAAACCCTGAATCACACTGAAACAGTCTTGACGCTACAAGTCATCATCTTTTTTCCTCCTTGAATGCACAACAGCTCACGTGGATGTTCACAACGAGGAGTCTGAATCCACGTGGGTCAAAAGTCTCAACTACATGGACTTGCAGGACTATCGCTATACTTGTTAACTGTACACGTGTATACACTTGTTTTTAGTATGTGTAGCATGGATGTAATCAAAAAACCAGTTTGTTTAGGCGTTTGCACATCCATACAAGACATTCAATAGGGATCTTACTCCAAGAGCTGAACACTACTGTCTGTAACACATCGGCCTCCCAAATCTTGACTCATTAACTCCTGCTTCTGCATTGATCATGTGACTCCACTCTCTTGAGTGTGATGCAAAAGGGGTTCAGGTTGGATAACCTGAAGTAGCTTGACCATTATAATGCCTTACTCATACCTTCTCCTTTATTTTTGGGTTTTGTGTTTACAGTTTTGCATGGATAAAAGTAACATATATATATAAGTTTTTGTGAGTATTGCTCAGATGGATAGTGAGTTGTTATTTTCTTACCTATCCTTGTGTTTGTCATACATCATTCTGATGATTTTGTCTTTGATTTTCCTCTATAAGTCATTTTACAGGAATGAGAATGCATGTTGTTAAGTAATAATGCTTGTTCTTTGAATTTTAAATAATTTCCCTTTAGGATGTTTTAGCCATTGTTTCTTCTCACAGACTGCACCTGAATCAGTGCCTTATGTAATGAATGCGAAGGCGAGTGGAGTGTGCAGGAGTATTTCACACTCATACAGACCTAAAGGTCTTGGCACATAGTGTGTGTGTGTGTGTGTGTGTGTGTGTGTGTGTGTGTGTGTGTGTGTGTGAATGCAGTGTGTGATTTGACTTAATGCACAGTTCCATACCAGCAAAAAAGAAATGTTAAATGGATCAGCCTCTCCTAATCACCTGCTGTCCTCTTCCATTGCCTCCAGTGAACTAAACCAATGACATAATGTTACTTGCTGCTTCCCTGTTTTAATATCTTCTTAAGGTAATCCACAGTGTCCTAAAATCTCTCCTCATTTGCCTCTGTATCACAAGCGTTGCCTCCCCAGAGAATAATCTGAACTGTCCTATCCTCTCTTGTCTCGCCTCAATCTGGAAACCTGACAGCTTCTTCATCTCTCAGAGGAATAGAGCACAGTTCATTGTCTTTTATAGTAACTGTATGTTTATCAATAAAATGTTTTAAATGGGATGCTATCTGTTTCTTTATTTGGATTTACTTTCATGCTGACATCAACATAAACGATTTTGATTATGAGCTGTAATGTTATAGCCATGCCAAGTACGCTTACTACGAGCTTCGACGCTGTTAAACGACGGTATGTGCTCCCTTCGAAACTCTGCGATCTCAGCGTTGTTTTAGCAAATAACAGTTTTGTTTTTCGATATCGCGGGAAAACTACTTTACCCAGAAGCCTAAATTCCAGCGAGGTCTCTGATTGGTGCTGTTCGCTGTTACCATGGAAATGTTCAAATGTTTCAGGAAGGTCGTATTATATTTTATTACACACACAGAAACAAACAAAAATAACAAAATATATATAAAACGTTCTGAGACAGCACTACGGAAGCTCTTGGCATTGTAATCCGGGTTTTGTAGTACATTATGAGTAGTGTAGTGTGAGAAGGATGAGTCATTTGTTCACCCTTAAAACCTTCGCCTTTTTTTCATTTCCCACTTTAGAAATTCAGATCACAAGTTTTTTGTTCATAGTTCAGCTCGTAGATGGATGAGTTTGTTTGAGGCTTAAAACTCTTTTCAATGAGCCTTTAAAAAACTAACTGGTTTTTACACCAGTAAACTTTTTTTCATATCCGGTCCGGTTTTGGCTTTACCGCAATCTGAAGTCGTTTTGATGTAATTATTTTTCGGTTTTAAAATGAAAACATTAACGGAACTATTGAGCAAGTAGCCAGAAAACGGCGCCAAAAAAGGAAGGACCGGAAGTTTACTAATATTCACCTGACCTATCTGGCAAATAAATTGTAAGCCAATGTAGTTTATTGTTGTTATTTTAAAAACGCTGAACGTCCGGACAGATGGACCCAAAGGGACCCTCGCTTTATGCAGTACGTACCTTTCAATGCACATTAAATTGATTGCCACGTCAACAGCGCGCTTGTTTCCTTATACTTTTAACTGCACGCGGAAGTTAGCTTGTGAGCTAGCTGGCTAGTTGAAGCTGTCGGCTAAAAACAACACGATGAGACGTGAATTAGCTGCGACTCTGCTTCTCTTGTTCCGCAGCAGGTTTGTTTTGGAAATAATTAATTAGTAAATGTTTGCTCTATATATCTCTACCGAGTTCTTTAACTCATGAATATGTGCTCATTTCCCTTATTTTCAATGCCGATATTGAACCGAGATTAAGAACTGAAACCCTATATTAGCTTCTTTTTTTCTTTTAGTAGCCAGCACAAGTGGTGTGGAGTAAGCACACCATAAGTTGTCTTTACGCTTCTAAGTGCCTAAACCTTGACTGACTAGCCTTAAATACTCGTTAGTTTTGCATACATTTTCGAAGTGCACACAAACCTTAAAGCCAGACCTGCTTGGTCTGCTCTCAAATTAATTGCAGACCTGCTTCTGGGTAAGTTTGGGAAGTCATTGTTTTCAGTCACCACTTATTACTTCTATCAGACCCAAAAGCCCATATTGAATTTGAGATAAAAACCGTTTAAATTTGCTGCTTCTTCCTGTAAACAGCTGCTAAATCAACTCAAACTCAAGGATCTGATCGTACTTAATGAATTTAAGGTACTTTTAAGCGACCTGGTGGCAGTTGGATAAAGCATGTATGTGTTTGTTTTAGCAGGCAGGCTCCTCCGCAGATATGACGCGAAGCATAGAGGAAGAGCCTTTGGTGGATGGGCCCCTGATCTCTGCTGATGCCCTCCACTCTGCCATCAGGAGAGAGTTTCAGACTGTGCCAACACACTGCCATGCCATCCTGCTGACTCTGCTGAATGTATGATATGCACACATTTGCACATACGCAGTGTTCACCAAGTCATTAAATACCAGTAAGTCTCAAATCCTCTACTCTCTTGTTCTTTTCAGGTTGTTTATGTTGTGTTGTCTGTCTGCGTGGCAGTGCTGTGTGTATTAAAATTCGGCCAAGAGGAAGTGTGTAAGAGTATTTTGGGGAGAGTCCAAGGCGACAGCGTCATCGTGTTCGCAAAGTCGTGTTTATGGATTCTGGTGCTGGTGTTCACAGGCTGCGTGCATCACCACCACAGTCGTGCTCGGCGCAGAGGATACCTGCGGTTTTACAGACAAACGCAGAGGCTGAAACAGGTGCCGTTCATCATACACTCTGCAGGTACAACTTTTCATGAGGATACAGTGAATGAATCTGTAATGGGCAGTGTTATCCACAAGGTGGCAGTAATTCTAAAACATAAGTAAGTGTTTATATTTCTGTGTGTGAACAGGAAACGCTCTGCTTATGACTCTTCTGGCTGCGAGATTACCACAGACTGTACACGTCTACGTGCTGCTCAGTATTCTGGGATTTGAGGTCTTGTTGACATTGCCATACCTGCTGTATTACATAGGTAAAGTGATCTTATTTTAATGTTGAGTAAAAGAATCTCAATCGGGGATTTAAGATTGACCCTTTTGTAGGACTGCAGACAAATTTAAGGTTTCTAAAATAATGTATATAGACCTTTAACATCAAATACTCAGGCTTACATTCTGAAACACCAAGACAATTATTTTTTGAAAGATGAAACTCGAGCTCCTTGTTGCTAACCAATTAGTCTGCACATGTACTTGTTTTTTCCTACCTTCCCTGTCACATCTAAATAGTTTAACCTTGAAGTTGTAGAGTAATAAACCATTTTAAAAATCAAATATACATTTGAAAAAGGGTAGGTATAGACAAAATATACAGTTTTTAAAATTCTTTAGGAAGAAGAAACTGAAATATAAGTTCCTTTACGTACAGATCAGATAAACTCGTTGTGGTCAAACTTAAGTCTGGGTGTGGTTTGGGACGTGTGTGAATAAAGACAGAATGCAATCATTTTCAACTTCATACACCAATATTTTATTCACAATAGAACACTGAAGATGAATGAAATGTTTAAAATGAGATGTTTTAATATTCTTAAAAAATCTCAGCTCACTTTGAATTTCTTCAGCGGCAACACGTCTCAAAAAAGTTGGGACGGGGAGAGCAAAAGGTTGGAAAAGTAAGTGGTGCTAAAATGAAACAGCTGCAAAAACATTTTCAACTAATCAGGTTAACTGGCAACAGGTCTGGGGAAATCTCTCTGTAGGAAGGAACAAGACTTGGGGTCACTACTGGATGCCTGTGAGCTTCAGGCCCTCAGCCAGCACTGCATTAAAAACGGATATACAATACCAGTGAATTCTGTTATTACATTCATCATCGTCATTATTATTATTATTATTATTATTATTA